AGCTGTAAAAGAAATAGTGCGTTCGAGCACTACGACTTCGTCGGATTTTTTGTTGATTAAGAGCACTAGACCATCCCGATAAAATCGGAGAAGCTGCAGTCGATCCGCAGGTAAATCTTTTGATTAGCTTTTCCCTGGCATCCCTTCGAACAGTGGTTATGGTTATTTTCATGTTAACGATAATATTTTACTACTTACCAAGTGCATGTGACATGTGGAACCCTTGGGGTTGACTGAGTTCGAACATCTTCTCAGACTTTGCTCTCCTTGCAGCTTTTTTTGTTTTGTCGCTGATCTTGTTATTCCCGTGATCGAGAATTGGAGCCAGTTTTGAGTGGGAGAACGAATTCTATGAATTCCAACTGTCGTGGGCAGTTGTGAGCCCTCCCAGAACAGCTGGAGAGTTACCATCGGTTGGACAGGCCGTCACCAAAAACCTCGACTCGACATCGACTGGAAATTCGCTGCGACGCCGCTGTGTTTCGACATCTCGTCGTGGATATCGAAGGAGGCAGGTGCCCATGGTACTTCCATTCCATCTCATTAAGATTAAGTATTAGTCGCCTTACCTTTTTCTTTATTGTATCGCAAAACGTTTCGAAGTTCGGCGTAACTAGCACTCGCACATAACCTAGTAATAACAACCGGTAAGACTGTGACGCTCCGCTCTACGTGATACCTTCGTACGTTCGTTAGGACTACCGAGCGTGTGGCCTACTTCGTTTATCTCATAGCCCTCGAAATAATTAATCAAATCGTTATTCGTTACGACTCCAACTAATTTGTTCGCTTCGTAAACATCGTTCGTATCGCTCGTATTTATCGTTAATTAGTTCGTCGCCTTTCGTAATTAAACTATCGTTCGTATTGCTCGTATTTATCGTAAACAGTTAGTCGCATTAAATCATTATCATTAATATCTTACTCATTTTCTTTTGCTTAATTATTTAGTTATTTCTCACCCTTACTTGTTTTTCTTTTTAATTAGTGACCTTAGGTTTTATTGTAATCAAATATTTTAAGTAACAGCTTGCAATTACAATAGTTAAATATTTTTCCGGTTTTTTGTTGTTGTAATTGTGTTTTAATAAAAACTGGTGGCGCCCTGGCGACGTCGCTACACAAAACAGTGTGCTCTCTCTTCTTTGCGAACCTCTAGCGACCTGACCCTTTGCACCCGCAGGAACTCACCCCTTCTCCACTAGCAGGCCGGCAACGAGCTGTGAGTTTGGCTCGTAACAGCGTGTTTATAGTAGAAGGGGAAAATATTTATATGAACTACACATGACGCGAGTGCAAATAAAAAATTTTAATTGTACAATCTACGAGAATCTACTCTCTCCAGAAGTAAGGCATAAAATAAAATTTTTCTCTCTATCTATTTCGCTCTATCATATTATTTTCCCAAAATTTATCATCCCGTTGAATTAAGCATTATTTTAATTTGGACATTTTATATATTTCTAAGATAGCGTTTTTGTTTATGAACCCGTCTGGCGATGCCGCTAAAAATGTACAAACCGCATTGTCTTACTGTCAGTTTGGTGTTACTGCAAAATGCTTCAGTTGCTCTTGCTTCATTTTCTATGCAAAGATTTTGGGAGAGTACATGCTGAACTAGATTTGCAGGGATGTAAAATGTTTTTCACAGTACAGTAGGATTAGCCGTGTTACTTGTTCTCTCATTTTGCAAATTTTACCAAAATAACGTTCGGTTAGTCTAAAGGATTTTTCTGCGCACCATTCTGGATTATTGCGCTCGCAAATTGTGTTTTGTTCGATTAAAAAGACATCAAGGTTTGAAAGTTTTTTGAGAAATACTTTTTGCGCTGTGAGATATCAGGTATTTCAACTGCCTCGTTATTAGATACATCGTCGCCCGAGAACTTGTATGATCCACAGACCGGAGCGCGCTCAGGCCAATGTCGAGTCTATAAGCCTCCAGAAATTCTGCGGGAAATAGTTATTATTTAGATGCTTTTGTTTACACACGTCTCACATGTTTCACTCGACTTTGACACTCAACTATTTTTTTTGTTTAACTAAGAATTAATACTTTCACTGCGTTTGATACTAGCGTCCTAAATTAGCAATACTAGTGGAACAGTAATCAAGCAATAGATTTTTTTGAGAAAGTACAGTTAATTTTTATGTTTTAGCAGCAATGTGTTCTATTTTCTATTAATTTTTAGGTACATATTTTTAGTCACAATTTTGGTAGTTATTTTTTACTTTTATTTTTAGCAATAACAAATAGTCCAAACATGAAAAAATAAAAAAAAATTAAAATCGGAAAATCTAAAATTTAGAAATCGAGAAATTGAACAATCGTATAATTGAAAACTCGAAACATCGAAAAACTGGAAAATCGAAAAATTAAAAAAAAAAAAATGGAAAATCAGAAATATAATGAATTCCGAAAATTGAAAAACTGAAATATGCATAGAACTAAAAACTGGAGAAATCGAAAAATCTAGAATTTTAAAAATTGAAAAATTAAAATATCGAAAAGTTGAAAAATTGCGAAATCGTATCAGTGAAACATCGGACAATTGAGAAATCGAAAAATAAGAAAATGGAGAAATCGAAAATTTGAAGAATAGAAAAATTTAAAATGTCAAAAATTAAAATACTGAAAAATTGAAACATCAAAAGTTGAAAAATCGAAAAACCGAAAAGTCGAAAAATCTCAATAATTATCTCAGGATTATGCTACTAAAAAATTGATAACATCATCTCAAAATTTTGCTTAATAAATTGTACTAAAAATGTGCAAAATATGATGAGTTTGTAATTGTAATTTATCATTGCATTCATATTTTTTTAGATTTGCTTATATACCTAGATGGCTCAAAAAATTAATGAATCTCTATTGATTAAATCAGTCTCGACTCACTCCATTTTCCCATAAATTTTTGGAATACTGTTATTTTTAGTCTAATCCACATTGATTTACGTGTCGTTGCAAAATGTTCATGATTTCATCACAAAATTGTGTACCTAAAGTAAAAATTTAACTCGAAAATGCTGGATATGTTTCATTGTATTTTAGGTGCGAGGGAAGTTCTGTCGAAACAACTTTCCACCAATTTTTCTTGCTGTTATATTTGAACATAAACAGTTTATTTTATATATTTTTAAAACATTGTAAAGAAAATAAAAAGTTGTGTTAGACTGAACCTTGTAGGTTTCTCAATCTATTTTCCGCAGCATTTTAAACTTTCAACTCAATTTCTCTCAAAATAGATAGAAATGGATTTCGATGGTTATTTCCCTGTACCCTTCATTCCAAAATAAATAAGCTTATCTGGTGTTGTTTACCGATTTGCATTTTATGACGGACTCCCTACAGTGACCATAATCTCTCCTCTCTTGGGTCGCTACCTGCCGTGCATCCGTACTTTGGGTTGCATAGTTACAAAAAATAATTCTTCTTACTGAAACCGTTTTTGCGGCCGACGACTGGGGACCCTTAAGAAACTAGTGAAAGAATAAATATCTTTTTGAACGAGTACTGAATCATTTCTCAAATATTTTCAAATCCGACCTTGCACTTTAGCAGGTACGTCAACAAACCCGATTCCCTTTGGGGTATCGGGAAGGTACTGAAAAACTACCCGCAAAGTTAAGTTCCAGACCAAAATACAAAAAAGACAAAATTCATATATTCACAACTTTACATCGCTGAAAATTTTACACAGATCTCCGACCCTTCTGCTGTCGTCATCCACTCTCAAATGACATATTTATGACATTAATTTTCTTACCTACCTATCTATCGGCATTATGCAAGTACCTATGAAATGTACATACGTCATATTGTGGATAAGATATCCACAATCACAGATCAAAATATAACCTCACAGGAAACAAACACGATTTTACTATAAAAATACATCTAATCAAATAATTGAATTAATAACTTCAAGTATTTAACAGACCCTATTTTGAGATGTGAAAACTTCGTAAAATAGAGACTAAAGTATTTGAAATTTCCACTTTCATACTTCAAGTAATTCAAGAGTATTTAAAATACTGAGTGAAGTACTTGGAGTAAAGTACTTGGCAAAATCAAGTAGTAAACTCAAGTACATTTTAGAAATACTCCAAGTACCAAGTACCAAGTACCTCAATATAAAAGTACTTCAAGTAAAGTACTTGAAGTACTTAAAGTACTTGAAGTATTACTTCAAGTACTTTTACTTGAAGTACTGAACAGCTCTGTTACCAATTTACCATGCCCACAATAACTTTAAAATATCTGCAAAATTTCATAGTATTCAGTTTTGTAATTCTTGATTTATTCAATAAAATAAATTGACTGATTCTTTAATTTTTTTGAGGCAACTGGTATAACAAAATCCAAAAAATATTAATGGAATGATAAATCACAAGTAAAAAATTTAGCACATTTATACCGCAAAATTTTGATATGAGACAAGCAAGTAGATTCTGACTAAAAATTTTTTATGCTCTTCATAACTTTAAAACATATGCAAGATTTCAAAGCATTCGGTTTGGCAGATTCAAAATTAAATTGCAAAATGTTGTTTTATAATTTTAATTTTTTTTCCAAAAGTCTGTCAAAACACGGATTCATAAACTACATGTATCGGACTTTGATATTTTATACAACTTAAAACTCATTTACTATGTATAATTTTGAAGTGACGTCATCACATTATTTGTGGGGATGACTACAAAAATTTTGGTTAGCGTTTAACCATCTACATGATAATCTTGATATAAATATAAAATTTGACAACAATCTGCCCAATACGGACGGCAATTAAACAGACAGATGGACATACAGACGGCAACGGGAGACCTATTTCTTCGTACTGTAGGGGCATGAAAGGTCGAGAAAACATAAAAATAGAGAGTCGGCCGACGGATTCGATTACAATACTTCCTTCGCTTACGCTCGGGAAGTAAAAATTGACGAATAATAATTAGAGCACAAGGAAAATAAAAAACTATAATGATTAATTTATGTAAAGCTATTGTTTCAGTACCACTATTTCGCTAACAGCTTTTACAAAATCTGGGCTATTTAAAATTGTTGCATGGTCACCATCTACTGTAGTCAGTTGTACAACATCATCGCATATTGTTGATAATTGATAATCATCTGTTTCATGAACCATTGGATACTTTGCTTTGAACAGATGTACTGACGATTGGATTTTCTTATTTTTAAATGTATAGTCAAGCATAGCTTTACAACGTTTATACAGTGCAATGCCAGCTTGTTTTTCTAATTTCACTTCGTCTCTTATTTTGGGAGGTAACAAAGACAAAAATAAGTCAATTTGCTCTTCAAAGTTATTAGACTTCATCAGCATTTCCTAAAAGATACGATTGCGCACGGTGATGATATGAATACAAGTAGTCGTTTACCAGTTACCTCATATTGCGAAAATACGTTCAACGGAATCAAAAGAGAAGAGATTTTTCTCAAAACGGCGGTTTGAAATTGGGTTTCCGTTTCATGCGGGAAGTGTTTTTTTAAAGAAGATGATGAATAAGCTGGTGAACCATCGATTAAAATCAAAATACCAGTATAGCCCTTTTCTTCCAACAAACTGGTCATTTCTAGGGCGACTAGAGTTCCAAATGAATATCCAATAATGTAGAAGGATGTGTCTTTGGATAGAAAACTTTCTATGTGCTAAAAATATAAGTATATAAAATAAATCAACTTTAAAATATGTAAATTTTAGAGAACCGGCAGTGTGTTTTGTGCAGTTCTTTCAATAGAATCCTCTGGATTGTTATAGTTGTACTGTACTCCAACTACATGAGCTTTTAATGAATTTATCAAAAATTCTAATGGTTTGAAGATGCTTTCCACTCCTGGTAACACGAACACCGTCGGAACCTCTAGGTGTGAGTCAACATGACTATTTAATTTAATAGCAGGCAAATGAACAGTTTCGCGATTGGGAATATACGCAATGAATAAATTTTCGCCCTCTTCTGTTTTTTTGTCTAAAACTTCTACAGATTTTTTGATTTTTCCTTCTTCCATTTCAGTTAATCTGAAATTCAGCGCTAAATTATAATACTTAGTTAAAAACATAATAATTACTTTGCGAATGTTAAACTTCTCACATCTTTGGATGTCACGTAGATTTCAAAATCTTTCTCTAAAACTTGAACAATTTCTGTACCCATCATCGAATCCATACCGAGTTCCGCAAATGTCGTATAGTGACTTATTGTTTTCATGTCTTTTATTCCCAAGACATAAGCAACCGTTTCTGCTGCACTAAGACTGTTATCTTTCTGTCGTTTTTCGGCAACTACCATACTAGAAACAACCGGATAGTTATGTTTTAACAGGACATCTAGTACCTCAAGACAGCTGGAAATTTTTTGTTGAACAATACCACCAAACACTAACTCTTTATTCTCCCTCTGCATTTTTGCCGCCAAACCAACCTTTAAAATATTTGCAATTTTAAGAAACCTTTGAAAATTTGTTTAGTACGTCACCGATTGCGCCCCATTGGATAGCCACAGCTGGTAATCCATCTCGCTTTCGATACTCACATATTCGTTCCATAACAGAATTCGCCATACCGTAGTTGCTCTGACCCGGATTTCCACGGCCACAAGATAGTGATGAGAATATGACAAAATACCTAAAGTATATCGTCAGAATCAACCGGTACTTTTTAGTTGTAAATTAACCTTAGTTTTGGGCACAGTTTTCTAGTGACTCGATCCAAATATAGTGTAGCGCGAGCTTTTGGTGCTAACGAAGTTTCGAAAGTTTCTTCAGTTTGATTTTCAAATAGTGCATCTTTAAGAACAACAGCTAAGTTAAAAATAGCATCGACAGGTCCAAGCTCAGTCGCTTCATTGATTAAATCTTCACAGCCTCGCTCAGTGGTAAAGTCTTTCATACAAATTTTAACTTGGACGCCGTATGTTGTCCAAATACTAGAATTGCTAGTGTGTATCTTTACTAGGTGATGAGATTATATTTTACTGTATTCTTTGCTGATGATAACCAGTTTGAATACCCGATCTCGAACTTAGTACTAGTTTTCTTGCACCTCTCAGGACCAACCAGTCGCTTAATTCTAAACCAACTCCACCTAGTCCTCCAATAACGACATAAGTGTACCGCACGTCACAGTGGAAACTTAAAAAACAATAATTTTAACGTATGCATTCTCAGTGATAACTTACCGTGGATTTGACATCATGTGGAATGTACTAACACTATCTTCTTCTTCATTTCGCAGTTTGATCAGTATTCTGCCAATATGTTTACCCGTAATCATGTATCTATACGATTTTTCAACTTCATCTGCACTGAACACAGTTCTGGGAAGGGGTTTTACAAAACCTGCTTCAATTCCCTCGATTAAACGTTTAACCAGCTTGGGCTTCATTTCTTTAAAGTTTCTAAAAACGACATCTAATAATATACCGTGATAGCTAACTTCTTTTTCCATGAACAAAAGATTTAATGTATTGTCATTCGCCAAATCGTATTTCCCAATTTCGATAAACTTTCCCCCCCGTGCTAAACACCTAATTGAAGCCTGCAATTTATCCTCACTTAGGGAATTCAGAACCATGTCAACCCCTTTATTTCGGGTTTCCGTTTTGATCATTTGTTCAAACGAGGTGTCTCGTGAATTTCCGATATGATTGTCTGGAATTCGTGGATAATTTTCTCCTAAATAAGCTCGTTTTTCCTGAGTGCCAACGGTTACATAAATTTCGCATTTATAGTGGAGACAAATGTTCAAGGCAGCTAGTCCAATACCACCAGTGGCGGAGTGAATAAGAACTGATGAACCCGGTTTCATATCGCCAACCTCGAAAAGACGTTAATAAATAGAGAAATTTTGTTCATATGCGTACCATTAAAAGAGCATAAATAACAGTGGAATACACAACAGGAACCGTTGCTGCATCTTCAAGTGTCCAAGAGTCTGGTATTTTCCAAACTGAGGAAGAATCGAAAGTAACATGGGATGAAATACCTTGATCGTTAGTCATCCCAGCCATTCTATGACCACTGTAAATAAAGTGTGTAAGTTTATTTTTTTCCAACAAATAAATAACACCACCTTGAATCTTTACCGGAAAATTCAAATCCTATTAGTATCTCTTGGTCAAGTCGATGTGGTTGTAATATTTCGGGATTTACGCGCCCAGAAGCGGCCATAATATCTTTAAAGTTAACTGATGAATAACTTGTCTACAAACAGTTATCATTTCCTTAGGACCACATAATTTATAACTTACAGAAATCAAAAGTTGTCCTTCTTTTAGTGGTACATCTTCAGATAAATGTCCCTCTAACCATTCGAAACTGGATATGTCTCCTCTACTTTTCAAATCTGCATAAGAATGTTCACAGTCAATCTTTTGTATTTCCTCCAAAATTAAATGTCGATATGTTCCCCACGATTTATCCTTATAAATGTTAACACCCAAATTTTTACTAATTTGTTCACTATAGAACGAATGTTGGGGATCGAATTCCGGAGCATCGTCCATTATGAAGAAACACTTAACTAAATTTCCCTTTGGTTCTCGCCTGATGCAATTTATCAAACCTAATATGCCTTCGGGATCTCTATTTGTTGCATATGCAATAACATCTTTCCCAAGATTTAAAGCGTTTTGTAACTCTGGGATCCAGTTAAAATTATTCGAAGATACTTTAATAAACTCGGGTCTGACATTTTCCATTTTTCTTCGTAATAAAATTATTCTTTCGTTTGGTGTTAAATAATCGGTCAGAACGTCTACTTCAGTAATATCGTTTTTTAAACTGAAATTGATATCTTCACGTGTTAGGATAAATCCGTTTTTGTTAAGTGGCGTGAAGAATTGTTTTAAAGTGTTTCGTTGTTGTAGAATTTTACTACCAACGTACAAAAGTATATTGCTTTCTGGTGTCAAAGTAAGAGTTTCAAATTTTATTCCAGGTGTTTCATCTTCTATGGTTGTTTCTGACGAAATAGTTAGATCAGGAGTTACTCCAGGGATGCGTTCCAAGATTTTATTGACAAAACCTAAGATGTGTTCACTATTTACATTCGTGAATTCGTTGATGATTTCCACAGCTTTAAATCTGTTATCTAAACTATTTTCTAAGATAATTTGAGTGTTGACTCTTACTGCTTCTTCTAATCCTAACGATGAAATATTTGAGATGAATACGTTCTTTTCCAGAACTGGTTCTAATCGCATTTTTTTCTTGAAAATAGATTTTACTTGAATTCCGTGTATTTCAATTCCACCAGACCTAAACAAGGCCAAGCTCTTTGGTTAACTGCAATTCTAGTAAATAGTTTATATAGTTACTTGATCAAGTTGCAATTCTTGTTCACATAAACAGGTAGAAGATATTCTTCTCCACTCTGTTCGTTCACAATTTCTATGTGCCTTAAGGGATCTATAATGATTTTCTTAATGCCAGTAGGAACGAAAAGCAACCTTGTGTCAGACTGAAGAATTTTCATTTGAAGCATATTATCCAGAAAACCACACCAGTTGTGCTTCCATTTAATCAGACCGATAGTACCGTCTGCATTGCATCGTTTAATTGATTTGAATAAACCACTAAAAAAAATATATACAACAAGCTGTTTCTTGTTGGAATCAAACCGACCTGTAATTGTAACCTCTTAGGTAAAATTCCCGATAAATATCGTCTTGTTCCAATATATTTCGTTTATCGTCACTCAAAGAATCAAATTTTGGTAGGATAACTTGTTGTTGGCTTGCATTTGGACAAAGTTGGATACGGCCACTAACTATTAACGAACCTTTCTCAGAATTTCAAAGTTGCCTGTGCCTCTTTGAACCGTTACAAGTAATTTTACGTAACCACTCTTAGGTAATGTAACGGCTTTGATAAACTTACAATTTTCAAATAATACAAGAATATCGACGGCTAAAAATCCTCGAGATTCTGCGTATGATTGCCACACTAAATTTAAATATTCGGTAGCAGGAACAAGGTTACGTCCTGAAAACGTTGTTTTTAATGTTAAGACCATATGACCGAAAAAAACACTTCTAGTAAGCCACGAAATTTATTTTTAAAATATTGTTATTGCCTTATCATTTTAGTTTTTCGCTTTAAATATGAATGCATTGATAAACCACAAATATCGAGTCATGATACTTTTCACATATAAGACAGGATTTATTCAGCAATATTTTTTTTAGGTGGGGTGAGCAAATACATTTTGATCAGAAAGTTATCATGCTTATGATAACTCTAATTTTCATTTCAAAGCATTCAGTTTTGCAGTTCCTGATTAAATCAATAAAATAATTTCAAGAATTTATTAATTTTTTGAGTTACCCTGTATGAGCAAATCCAAAAGATATGAATATTTTGTACATTTTAAATAGGCAAAATTTCGAGGTGACGTCATTAATTTTTTCGAGGAGATAAGCAAATAAATTTTAATTAAAAATGTATATTGTTTATCATAAGATCTGGGGGGGATGATTCGACAAATTTTGGTTAGCGTTTTACCATCCACATTTTATTATAAATACAAAAAGTGACAACAATCGGCCCAGTATTTTTGGAAATTATCTGTCTAATAAAAATACAGGATGCTTGTCATCGAAACGCACTAATAGTGACATCTTGCAAGTATAAACATAAAACGTCGAAATTATATATGTAATACAACACTGAGAAAATAAGTTTTCTCGTTGGTTATTTGTTTGAACGATGTTACATTTTGTCCCTACTTGTGCGGACTGGGCCTCGTTGCAATTTGTTTAGAACTGCTTATGCAGGACATTGATTAGAGGGTGACTCAAAAAAATTAAATTTATTTTATTGGTTAATTCAAAAATGACTCATTCCATTTTCCCAAAAATTTGGGAATGGGGTACTATTATCATTAGTATTACACTGCATCTATCCAAACTGAAATACAATCCGTGTTGGTGACATCAACATTTTTTAAAGGAAAAACTCATCTAAAATACACGCGTAGCACAAAAGTTATTAGACAATTTTTTCTGGATCATATGGTATACTCCTTAGCGCTAGTTTAAATACGAGTATATTACCATCGATGCAATGGCCTTTCATAAACTGATGTTCGTCCTTTGAGAGTGAAATACTATATTCCCTCTGCTCAGCATCCGATAATGTAAATTTTGTAAATTCATATGTGTACCATGATTTTTCGTGATTCCATTGAATAGAAGGTGAAATCATGGATGTGCCTCTACTTACAGGGAATTCTATTTGAGGATACAGTTTATGAATTTGGGGAAGATAACCTTCTGTATATAATCTACAAATTTATTTTATCATCTTTAAATTTCTTTGGTGCTCATTTCTTACCTTCCTAACAGACCGAGTAAATTGACGATCCCATCTTGTACCAGTAAATTATTTTCATCACTGAGCGGAACATCGGATAAATTTAATATTATTGTGCCTTTCGACGCTTTAATAAAATCTTCGTAAGTTAAGTAATCCTTTTTCTTTGACTCATTATTTTTTGAATCCAATAATTTCGCTGATTTTTGGAAATTCATATTAGAATCAAAATTTACTTTACTAAGTTCGATCGCTGCTAACACGGCATCTTCGAGCTGGATGACGTTGTAATAATAAGCACTAACGATTGTACAATAAGTGTCACTGAAAATTCCAGCAGGACACAATTCCAACTTTTTTATAATATCTACCAATATTAATTGCAAACATATTGAGCCTAATGCGTCTTCATTTGCTATTGTTTGAGACAATAAAATTTCTTTAAGAGTTTTCACTTTGTTGAGCACCAAAATTTGATTAACCCTTTCACATAGAAACAAATCTCTTAATTAGGAACGCACAAATAAGATCTTAACATACCTTGATTCGATGCATTCGAATATCGAAAATTTCTTCAAATAAGAAGCCAGTTTGCGGAAATTAGTGACGAATTGTCCAAAAAATACGTGCAAACGAGGTCTCTGGGAAGGCAATAATTTTGATGACATTGATATAAGACCGCGTTTGGAAACCAGTGCATATCCTCGATGTAAATGATTTGGGTTATTAATTTTATATAACTGATGGAGAAGACCGACGTATTCTTCATCCAAGCTTTTGCTGCTAACGTCATTTAAAATTTTCAAAACCGCTTCATTAGTGCGACCACTGACACAAATTAATCTAGGAACATCATCTTTTGGCAGTCCACCATCGATTTTCTGTTTTCTGAATCTTTGCAATATCACATGAGAGTTGCTACCTCCGAAACCAAAGTTGTTAACGCCTATAATCGCATCATTGTCTAAAAGCTCAGTAGCTTCTGTTACAATTTTCATGCGGTTTTGCTCAATCCCTTCCAATCCTTCTCGAACCCTTTTGAAGTTGATATTAGGTGGTATAAATCCTGTTTCCATTGCAATCAGTACTTTTATAATCGAACACAGACCTGATACAGGTTCTGTATGACCCATATTTGATTTTACTGAACCTATCAGCAGCTGTTTTCCATTTTTTTTTGCCAGAGCCCTGTCTGCAGCACCAATTTCTTCAGGATCCCCAACTCGAGTACCAGTACTATGTGCTTCGAAGTATCCCACTTTTGAAGGATTAATATTACTTTCTCGATATATTTCAGTCAAAAGCTCTTCTTGCATTAGCGATGAAGGATGTGTTATCCCTTCTTTTTTAAAACCGTCGGAGTTCACTTTCGTATTAATAATTTGTGCGTAAATTCGTTTCGAATTTTTAGACTTTTGAAGCAAAATACATGCACAACCCTCACTTCTAACATAACCGTTTGCATCCTGATCGAATACTCTGGGTACTCCGTCCGGACTTAAAGCTCCCAGGCTACAAATGTATTCTTATAGAAAGGAAATTATTATCGTGTATAAATAATAATAATACCGAAAATATTGCATTGTGCCTCTAGGATGGATGATTAAATTACAAGCAGCGACTATTGCATTTTCACATTCACCACTTCTCATGAATTTAAATGCTGAATGAAGAGCATTTCCAGAGCTGCTGCAAGCTGTATCAACAGCGAATGATGGTCCTTTTATTTTCAAATAATAACTCAGACGATGAGCAAGCAACGATGTGAGAAAGCTGAAAGAAACACATTAATATAAATTCAGAATATTCTATTACTTACTGAATTATTAATTTTGCAGAAACTTTAAATTTA